CTACGTGGAAAATGAAAAGTAAACATATGAAGCAACTGGACTTGTGTTTTGGAGCTGTAAACACGTGGAGCTGCAGATTTAAACAGTGTGACTTCAGTTTAGTGTCTTATCGATCCTTCACCCCCTCCTGATGAAAAAGTCAGATGAATGTGACATGAGCGTTCACACTGCAGTCACTTTGAAAACATCAGATATGTATCCGATTTAAAACCACATACTGAAACGGCCTGGGTCAGATTTGAAAAAATCTGATTTGTCTCGTTCAGACTGTCATAAAAAAATCTGATATGAGTCAGATGGGTCAAAAATCGGATTTGCCTGCAGTGTGAACGTAGCCTTAGTTTGTCTGTATGTGTGTCTCCCCACCCCCAAATACAAGTTTGTAACTATTAACTTTATTCTTTTATTTTGATTTAAAAAAAAGTTTAATATGTAGAGGTGGGGGTGTAAAACCAGAAGTAACATTGTTGAAACTGGACGTGACTTTAAAACAAGTAAACATGTAAAAAAAAAACTACAAAACATCTACATTTACAGTTAAATAAATTGCCTGACATGGCAAGTTGTTTGATATTGCAATACTAAGGATTTGTGTAACTGAATAGTTTAATTTTTGTGTTGTAAACTATTGAGAATGTGTTTTTTCTGCATGAGTGTTCTGGAGAGATTAGCATTATGCTAGTGGTTTTCTATGGGGTTTATACTGTATATTAGCAGCTATTTAGCATGAAGCTAGTGCTTGTTTCTTGAACAGTTTTGGTGTTTTACTGCTTCTAGTGTTTTAAAGGAATAAATTAAAATGCGGTTTACATTGTGCTGATTTAGATTTAGTACAGCTTTCTATGTTTATAGATATGTGTTGGTGCAAACATTATTTAAAAAAGTCCTAAATGTAATGTTATCTTCTCCGTCTACATCTGATGCTTATCTGTAATCTGCTGAAAAGTATTTAAATATGTTGTTAGAAAATATCAAATTTCCAGATTTACATATAAAAAAAGCATTTATGGCTGTTTCAGTGTCAAAGGAGGGTCTGAACAAGGGAAATCAAGCAAAAGCACAAATCTCGGATGCTTAAAGAAGTCCACCCAACTACAAAAATACTGACGAGTCAGTGTTCCAGCAAATAAAGAGACAACCCAGCTGAACTACTCAGAGCAGCCTTTGTTGAACAGTCTGTGGAGGCCCCTGGAATCCACTCCACCCCCACCACTGGCCAATGAGATCATTACAAGTCACGGCGCACGCGCAGGGCTGTGGAAGATTTCTTTAAAAAGATCCAGAGCCCAGCAACAGCAGAGGCCCGAATAACTCCCATTGACAAACCCTGACACCAGTAGAGAGAGCTCAGTGAAACATTCAGCTGTGTGTTTACAAAAATCTAACGTTGTGCTGTTACACACTAAGAACGATGAAGCCATGGCCTCTTTTTGAGGATACTTGGTGTTTTTCTGGAGGTTTAACGTGTCTGAATGATTCGGTTTTGAAAGTATTTACAGGGTTAGAACAAATGTGTAACTGTTCAGTGAAGGTTTAGGTACAAGTTAGTATTTAAGAGCTTCCCGGGTTCGATGGAACGCAGAGTCGCAGGAAATGTTGACGTGTTTTTCAGCATTCAGAAATACTATCTTTTTCTCTCTGAAGCAGTCAAACGAGTTGCAGGGAGGTGTGTCGAACACGCTTCCAAACAGCACCAACGACAGGCAGGTTTGTGTTCAGTTTCATCAAATATTAGCTCACCCTGACACCAGAGGTTGCTTTGTCCTTTCTGTTTGTTTTTGACTTAACAGGACAAAAGGCTGTGTTGAATAAGGTGGGCCCACTTCTGAGTAAAATTATCAAATTACCAAAGTTATTGTTAAACTGTTTTAAATGGAAGATTTCAAAGGAATAGGAGTAAAGTTAAACAAAAACAGCTGCATAAGAAAGAATTAAAGCATTTGGATTTTGGCCTGCTTTAATATATATATTAAAATTTTAAACGTAGGTAATTTTGTGAAAATTACAGCCAGTCTGTCTCCACTGTTAACTCTTCTGTCCTAAGCAGTCTCAATAGTGCCCTCTACTGACAAGAAGTAATAACAGTGTTGCCACCCAGTGTGTAGGATTTTGTCAATTCTTTTAGCTGAAATTGAGATAATCACTAATGACAATAATAAAAAAACATGTCTAATCATTGCAG